AGGTTGGCCCAGGATCAGGCAGTGTTTCGTTCTGCTGTGCATAAGGTTGCTATGAGTCGGTACCGACTTGATGGCACCTAACAACAACAACAACAACAACACACCTTTCCTAATTTTAATCCACCCACTTTTCCCTAGTTCTGTTTGAACAACTGCCCCTGGGTCTATGTACAGATTCCTCATAAATACAAGCAAGTGTTGTTAACTACCCATTCTTCACAATGTTATCCACAGTTTGCCATTATCTACACAATCAAAAAGCCTTTGACTAATCAATAAAGTACAAGTAGACATCTTTCTGGTATTCTCTACTTTCAGCCAAGGTCTACCTGAAGTCAGCAATGATATCCCTTGTTCTAGGTCCTCTTCTGCATCCAGCTTGAGTTTCTGGCAGTTCCCTGTCGAGTTCCCTGTACTGTAGCAGGCATTTTTAAATTATCTTCAGCAAAATTTTACTTGCATATGATAATAATGATGTTGTTAAATGGTTTCCACATTCCATTTGGTCACCTTTCTTTGTAATGGGCACATATATGGATCTCTTCTAGTTTGTTGGCCAGGAGTTGGCTTCCAAATTTCTTGGCATAGATGAGTAAGCACCTCCAGTGCTGCATCAACTTGTTGAGAGATTTCAGTCTGTATTCCCTCAATACCTGGAGCCTAATTTTTTGCCAGTACCTTCAATGCATCTTGAATTTCTTCCTTTATCACATGCTATTGGTTTGTTATCATATGCTATCTCTTGAAGTAGTTTAACATCAACCATTCCTGTTTGGTACAATGACTATTTGTATACCTGCCATCTTCTTTTGATGCTTTCTACATTGTTCAATATTTTCCCATAGAATACTTCAATAGCATAAGTTGAGGCTTGAATTTTTTTTCTTCAGCTCTTTCAGCTTGATAAATGCTGAGCATATTCTTTCCTTTTTGGTTTTCTAACTTCAGGTCTTTGCATATCCCATTATAATACTTGATTTTAATTAATAAACTTATCCCTTATGTGTATATAGTTAGTATTTATTATATAAACTTTTTCTTAGGTATAAAAAGAATATATGAGACAAAAACCAGTAGATCTGAATCTCAGATACAATTGCTGGTTTAGAGAACTTAAAATGTTTCTAAAACCTAAAGCTATGTAGAAAGTAAAGGTTATTAGAAATGCACTTTAGAAATATGAAGGTTAATGGATTTTGTATTCAACAGTAGTCATCTGAAATGTTTTACAATGATCTTGGAGGAAACATCCTATAGATGGAAAACATCTACTTTTCTTTAAAATTATTTTTAAATTAGAAAAAGTGATAATATCTATTTGGGCACTTAAATTCAGTCATACCTAAAGGCAAGGGAAGAGACATACGATTTATTCTATGTATTTTTAAATATACTTAATTGTATAGTGAGTTCATAGTCAACTTCTTTGACTCAGTTTAAAAAGGATGATAGATAGCAAACATTGAGCACTAC